TTTTTTTTTTTTTTTTGGTTTACCCAATCCCACACAACATTTTTCCACTAACTTTCACAGTTCTCAAGAAATCACTAAACCCAACAGTCAAAAAAAGGGTAAATTAATTAATTAATTATGGAATTTTGACTTTTACATATCAGACTCTGAAGTTCTTCCCAACAAAAGTTTGACCGAATTGCCAATGTTGAGGAACTATGTTCCATGAGGTAGAAGTGCGTCGATCACTGCCGGTCACTCTAAATGAGAGTGCTTGACCAACCAAATCTGAGTTTGATTGCCAATTTTGTCCCCAGTTTCGACTCATGCTCATCCACCCGGTCCTCGACCCTTTAATACTCACCCTCACGATATCTCCTGCTCCCGCTACGTTGGTGATCAAAACTAGGTTAAAGTAACGGAATCCATTGATGGTGAACCTTATTCCCCCTGGCTTCCTGCATGGTACCCTGCAATAAAAAAATATATATATCAAGTTAATTCATATTCAGCTGTACTTGAAAGTTACTTGCTGATTTTACATGAAAATTTTGGAAAGACAATGTAATATTGATAAAGTGGGTCCCGATATTAATGTTAAAGATGGTGTTTGCTTGGCTTTAATTGCTACTAGTTTGACAACCAACCAATCTATACATTTTGTTCGAATTTCATTTAATGCCCTTACTCTTTGGGATGGCTATTATCTATACTCCCAAATGGGTCGGCTCTAAAATAATTTGATTTTGATGGAGACTAAAAAAATTATTTGGAGCTAAAAGGGACTAAAAACTGCTTCACCCGTCTAATTGGAAACTGAATAGTGCTACTTTACCAGAAAGTATGTGACATAATAGTTGATATAATAGGTGTTGCCAAGATATGATTGGATGAAAAAGTTGGTTATGTTTTAAACAGTCCAATTATATTTTGTCATGTGGTATTACGTCAAGGATTATGTCAACACTTATGTCTATGTAGCATGATTGATCTAGATACGTGTTCGCGTCCCTATTGTGTTCTTTACTTAATAACTTGATTTGATTTTCGTAAGCATGCATACAGTGTATCAAACACAACTTGAATCAGTAAAAAACAGAGCAAAAGGGACGAAAACATTACCGACGGTAAACTACCGGAACAATTCCTGCACGATACTCGGCGATTTTGAGAAACATGGGCATGGCGAGGTCGAAATGTGACCTCGGCGGGTTGCACCAGCCGCCATTGTCGTTTGGCAGAGCGTAGTTAGGCGGGCAAAAATTGGTGGCAGTGATGAGAATAGATGGGCTGCCGGCGTGGCACCACTGGCGTTCGTTAGAACACTTGATCTCGAAGCACGCCCCGCAGCTTAAGCCGTTGTTGAACAAAGCCGTGCTGAGGGCGGCGGTGTTTACTCCATAGCCTTGGCTGTATAAGTTGCCATATCCACAAGCACCACCTGAACATAAAATGTGTTAGAATCACACCTATAATGGAAAACTATACCAGTCTACGAAATTTTTACTCACCCATTGTGCCAGAAGCGTCACTGCCTCCATAGAAAGTGGCATGGGCATCTTGCCATGATCCACCGCTGTAAACTCCGGGGATTCTGGCTTGAACTGCCAGTGACAAAAGTGAGAGGAGAAAAGCTACATTGCACAATCGACCGACTAAAGCCATTTTGTCTCACTGAAGAAACGAGAATGTGGGTATGAGTGAGAGATGTGGAGGAAGGTGTGGAGGGAAGAGGACTACTTATGGAGGGGAGGCTCAAACAGAGTATCAGTGGCAGTTGTGTAAATTGGAGTAGTATTTAAGATCCTTTTTGGTAAAATGAGAAGCTTTTGTGAATATGAAGCTCTTTAATGTGGGGTCATTTTATTAGGTAGTTAAACTGTTTTATTCTATATTCCAACTGGGTTCACAAATGAATACACATGTAGCACGTTACAACTTGCAATCTCTTATAACATACGACTGTGACTCGCTTTTAAGATTGATAGCTCAATTTTTCATTCCATATTTAAAGATCAATAAAGGTAACAATTCAATCAAAGTGAGTAATCGACCACATTATATGCACTGTATTATCGTTAATTAACCTCAATTTTTGGGTGTGACATCCTCGTGAGTGCATGATGGGCATGAGTTCTATCACTTTTACGTAATATTTGACAACTTTCCCTTATAGGAGGAAAGATGGCTCTTTTATTTCTTATTTTTAGCATTGAAAGTAAGAAGTTCGGTGAAAAAGAATGAAACTCATCTCCTATGCATAACTTTTTGCTCGTTTGAGGCGAGGATCCTTGCAAGGTATCTAAAGAATGACAAACCATTGTACTTTTTTTTTCTTGGACCTTTAATGGCTTAATAGAGGGGTTCAAATGCCAAATGAATAGAATATTTAGAGTGAGAATTCAAACTTCGACATACCTAAAGACGTTCACCACGGTTTGAAACATTTTTCTCAAAATTATGCGTTTTAGTGAGGATTTTTTTTAAAAATAAAAGTCAATATACTATTTCTTTTTATAGTAGTAAAACCCGCGAAACGTTTAGTTCTTATATTACGTGTACAACCACATTAAAAAGAAAGTTAGTGTGCCCTAAAATTTGTAGAAAAATAAAAAGTTCCATAGTATAAGCTATACGCACCTAGAAATAGATGTGAAAAGGAAGTTCAGTTAGTTGGTGTAATGCAACAATTAGCTTTGCGTCAAACGGAAGAAAGTTAAAGCGTAATCAGCGGCTATGATTCAAGGAATTAAAACATGGATACGCAAAAGCATACTAATTTAGCCCCACCTTGATACCACGGGACAGACAATTCTTTTCCCTTTGCTTTTGGCATGGTGGGGACAAGCAATTAAGCAGAAGTTGAGACCAACTAGAGGACACTATAATGAAACTGGTATCCAACGTAAAGGGATTAAATGCATGATGTGTTGTTCAACTCTGAGAAAAGTTGCATTCGAGCTACTCGTTACGTCGATCTAGCCACTAATCTTTAATATGGTGCAATCGGGTTATCTGATTTCAATTTACTTTAAAAATCTAGTCATTGCATCCATTGCCGCTGAATAAATGTACAATTAAATGGGTTACATAATTTTATATTTAATTTAACATATCACGCAGTGTCACTTAAATCGATGTTATAGTATCAGTGATATTATATATCATTATTCTGAAAACAAGCGACAGATTGACTTGTTTTACCATGGCTGCGGCACAGAGTTAGCCGATGCTTATTTCTCAAATAGCGTCATTGCTTCTTCTTTCGAGAAGGGAGGATTAGGGAAATCCTCTTGATTGCAACTTTCTCTAGATCTCCGATTCGGGAAAGGGATTCCCTGAATATTTGGTAGCTTTGAGTGACATCACATATTCTTTTAAAACAAATTCGTATGAACTAAAAATACGTTTTTACACATCGGCTATCCATTAGTTATGACCTAATGTTATAAACTAGTGGTAGTAAGTCACCATATTTGAAAGTAAAATGATGTAATTATGTCAAAATGAAGATGAGTGATCGAGATGAAACTCCATTTAAAGTTGAGTGATGTGCATTGCATTTAACCCAACGTAGAGGGTAGAATTTTCGGACTTTTTGGGCGGGTTCCATTTAGATTCCGCAATTAAAGGGCCACAAACCATGCAAATGAAGTGGGTCCTAAAGTCGCATGCAGATCTCGAGCCACACGCGCGAAATATGAGCAAGTTAACAAAATTATTGCGACTTTCCGTCTTCATATTTTGTGTTCAAAAATGTCTACCACTAGTACCAAACATTCTATATGAAATATTATCAAAAGGAAATACAATTCGAATTAGTGATCATTGGCAATATTAATAATGTAGTTTTTTTTTATAGGGATGGATAAAGTTATCGAATCAAATCAAACCAAATCAAATCGAACGATTCAGTCCGATTCCATAAAAAAGTTTAATGATTTTGGTTCTTAGAATCAAGAACCATTTAGTTTTGATCCTAGAAACAAGGATCAGAATCGAGAACAAAACTCAATTTTTTTTCTTTTTATAAATCGGTGAATCATATTAAAAAAATCCAACTTTAAATTGAAGTTGATATCATGTTTATTTAAAATATAGTGAAGATATCAACGAATAA